TAGGTTGGTTCTTTGAGAAATATGAAAATATTTTTTATTCAAATGAAACCGACAAACGAAAACATAATATTGGTACATAAACCTTATCAGCAATTCAATACTTTATATATTTGAACTAAATACATATATGATTACGCAACTTCAACAGAAAATTTAGATTAAACAACTTTTTATTTTTTTTATTATATTTGAATTGTTTCAACATAATCTTGTTTTTACAATATAAAATTAAACAACTTAAGCTCACTTTACTTCATAGCCTGTTTTTAATAATTAACTTACTCACTTTACTTCATAGCCTGTTTTTAATAATTAACTTAATCAGTACCTAGGTATATTTATGCATTTAAATCCTAACATTTAATATATTTTATTATCAATTTTTTTTTTTTTTATCACAAATTCTGTAATTCTCTCTCTATATATATATTATATTATTATTCATAACAATAACTTACAATTATTATATTCTAATTAATCATCATCATATTAACAATTAAGTCTTTATTATCTTAACTATTATATTTAGATAATAAAACAATGCGCTACTCGTACATTGAATCTCGAAGGCAAAGATATAGCATACATATATATTACAATTTTGTACATAGTTAAAAATAATAAGCCAAGCCGTTTAAATTTAGTAGGAATTCATCAAAGCCAAGTGTAATTAGTTGGGATGACTCGGAAATTATAATTTTCCGAGACAAAAAGTTCTGCTTTACTCTTTCAGTTTCAGCATCTCTACCTCCTCTATTTTAATAAACTGTTACGTTGCTTAGTAATAGTTGAACCAAGGAAACCCTCCAAATGTATTCTCGAGTGTACTAATTGCCAAAAAGGCTTGTATACAACAAAAGTATACCACTTATTAACTAGGTGTGTTAAACGCCCGGGAAACCCACTCATATGTCAGAAATCAAAAGAAGTTTCTTTGAATTCGTTAATTGTGAAAACACCCATCCAGCTCCAGATCTCAATAATATTTTTTTATTAAATTAGAACGTCAACGGACTAAAAAAAAATAATAAACTGGTATTAAAGGTGTATATTAGAAGTATGGCCCGCTTCCTGTTTGTCAGCATAATAGAGCAACGACGCGACGGAATAAGAAATGTGTAAACCGTGCGGCGTCCTTTCGTCGATTCAACGAAGACCAGGCGGCGGCAACTATGATACTGGATGCCGCGCTGGACGGTGTTAATCGGCCATGAGACCCTGGTACCATTTTCGAGACCCTCGGATAGGACCTACGATGCGTCGAGCATGACCACGACCACGGTTACCTAGATAACCGTGACCACGATGGACGCTGGTATGGTTTCGCAGAAAACACGCTGGGATTTAAAACCGAGAAAACCAGAAACCGAAAATTAGTTTTATTTAGATTTTAGGTGAGAAGGCATGAAGATGTCGGTAAGCTCTCGGAATATTATTAAACATTTTTATCGACTTCTGATTTAGGTACAACAAACGATTAACGATTTAAATTTTTTCTGGGAAACGTTTACAGTTAAAAAATATACACATATTGCACGAATAGCGTTAGAAAGAGGTCACGATGATATTATCCTATTCCATTATCACTACCAATACGACTCTAATGAATTAATTCGGCATCAAGTAATTTAAATAAATAATACCTATACTTCAAACGGCTAACCGTTGTACGCGATTTTTGATTTTTTTTTATAACAAGTAGGTTCATAACTGCAATAATATTATAGAACAATAATAATATTAATACATTTTGAATTTAAAAATGGTGCCAATTGTTTGAACCATTATGAAAACTTTTATCGCGATCCCACCGCTATGAGCACGGTTGTCGGACGCCACACCCTATAAAATAATTCCTTTGTTTCGAGTGCGATGAATATTCTAACAAAATCGTACCAGGGTCCCATGTTCATTCGGCGTCAGATGTACGCAGCTCGGCTCAATGATAGGATAATTTTAAATTTGTTGGTTTTCAACTACTGAAGGAAAGTTAAAACATACCGTAATTTAAAATAAAAATATATTGTAATCGTATACTTTCCATTATTGGTAAAATAAAAGTTTTTAAGCGACGGTTTAAACGCATGAGAATGGTTGGAATATCAACTTGACAGTGCGCCAAGGTAAATTTCAAGAATACCAGTGTATAAATACCTACATGAACCAATTCATTTGGGGTTTCTCACCCTCATATCTCTGCTTCCTCCTAATATGGACATTTGAAATTTGAAACATACATTTAACTTAAGTACCTTTGGACACTGCACAAATTGAGCCTTTTCAAAGAGGGAGAATATCAAAGTTTACATTTTTGTAAGGTACTTACACACTCATCATCAAAATTATAAGGCACTTGCCGTATTGGTAGAAACCTGAAAATTAGCACAAAGGTACATGTTTATACTAAAATTTAATCTGATGTCCATACTCTAATGTGCAGTACTACAAGAATTAAGTTAATTTGGTGTCAAGTGATTTAAAGAATTTTTAAATTAATGAAATTAACACGATTTTTGAACTTTTTTTATAACAATTAGGTTCATAACTATAGTAATATAGACCATAGTATAACAGTATTAAAACACATTTTAAACTTAAAAACGAGCGACATTTATTTAAAAACCCCATAAAATAATTTCTTTGTTTCAAATGCGACGACTATTCTACCAAAATCGTACCAGGGCCCCATGTTCATAGGCTATAGCTCACCGACTTAACCATCCGGCGTCCGATGTATGCAGCTCGGCGCAACGATAGGATAATATTAAATTTGTCGGTGTTCGCTTACTGTAAGTACACTATAGGAAAGTTAAAATTGTACCGTAATTAAAAATAAAAATATATTGTAATCATATACTTCCCATTGTAGCTAAAAAAAATCGCCCTCTTCACAAAGACTTTCAAATCACATATTGAACAATCTTGAAGGTCTTTTCACAAGTTTTTAATCGACGGTAGTTAAAATCGTGTCTTTAAAATTCAGAGTTATGCGATATTAGAGAAACCCTATTAAGTCTTGTGTACCCATTTTAATTATTTAAAACTGGTTATCGACCAGTCAAAATGTTCAGTAAATTATTATTTAATAAAAAAATCAACTAAATACATATGTTACATATTTAAATTAAAAAAGTTAATAAAGCTTTGCTGAATACTAAAAAAAAAAATTGAATACTTTCTAGTTTCTATAGGGTATTTTGTACTCAGTCTGCAGTTAGCTTAACTATAAATATATAATTAATTCGTAGTATTAGTTAATACATATAATTACAATTTAGATAATTTAAAGCAGTTATCTGATAAAAAATAAAAATGGTGCCCCGCAAAAAGTAGAACTTATAACTTCATGGTCGAAATAAGATATTTTCATAGGTTTAAGGTGCCTAGAGGCTGTATAAAAATTTAGCGTAAATAGAACATTGGCATTTCCATTATCCTGTGTTCTTATTAAGTCAAATTTCCATTCTGAAAAATGATATGAATTCCTCAAAAGAAAGAAAGAAAGAAAGAAAGAAAGAAAGAAAGAAAGAAAGAAAAGAAAGAAAGAAACAAAAAAAAAACAAAGTAAAGTAAGAGAGAAACAAAGAAAGAAAGAAAGAAAGAAAAAAAAAAGAATCAAAGAAGGAAAGAAAGAAACAAAAAAAGAAAAGAAACACACAAACAAACATTAATAAATTAGTTTCTACTGAACGCCCCCCCCCTAAAACCATGTTGGTTGTTATCAATTATGTTTTTAAATGTAAATGTTAAAGGCGGTACAATTAATTTGTATCGTTAAAGCTGATAGAATTAAGTGAATGAACCTTATTAACTGTTATTAATAAAAGTAAAAATTTAACTTTATTTATACATGTTTATGTACAAAAGTTTTTTTATGAACTTTTACGTTTATTGATGGAAGTTATTTTTTTAAAACTTTTTTGTGAACATTCCCGTCGAATGAAATGTACTAGTATGTGTTGTTAGGGTATACGAATAATTATTGTGAATAATTTTTTTCGTTCCTTTTAAATAATAACTTCCATTTTACACCTATACACTTTGCAATACGCACTAAAAATATATATAGGTAATACCTTCATGCGTTTAAAAAGTAAACAAAGATAATAGGTAAACAGTTTTTCTAGAGATTATAAAATATCGGTTTTTTTTTTGTGGCGAAAAATATACATTGTGACTTTTTGTCCGACTTTCAAAATGCCATCTGGAAATAATTTTTAATAAAAACGTTATAAAAACAGCCTCGTTTGAGTCGTTGGCACATTAATGAATAAAATGTGAAATAATTACTCCTTAATAATAAGTCATACTGGCAGCAAATTGTGCCAGTCAATAACTTAGATGATATTAGAATTTTTTTAATTATTTTTTTTTTTTTAATGTTATTGTTATTAGTTGGGACAAATTTAATATATTTTTTAAAATTATAACTCCGTCCCTTTATGTTAAAATCTTATAAACTTGAGTTTATAAGCTTTGACAATTTTAAAAGTTATGACGGGAGGGGAAGGCGGTTGATAAAAACATATCTACTCTTCACCCTTCCTCCCGTCCTAAGTTTTAAACTTGAATAACTTGAACACTAATTATCCAAAACTGGTTGTCGACCGGTCAAAATGTTCAGAAAATTTTTTTTGATTTAAAAAGTTAATAAAATGTATACGTTACCATTTAAAATTCTCAAGTTCATACGGTTTTAACGTATAAAGGATGGGGTTGTATTTTTAAAAAATTTATTAAATTTGTCCAACTAATAACTATAAAATTATAAAAAAACAAATAATTAAATAAATTCTAATATCTTCTAAGTTATTGACTGGTCCATAGCTGTTAACCAATCACCCAGTATACACATTGTTAGTGTTGGCATTACTAAGAGGCAGTTTTTGTTAAGAGTGACGTTTTGTCGGGCGACGTTTTGTCGTGTTTTCGTACTTACGCCTGTGGCAATTACCCGTTATCACACAAACACACAATATCACAAATCTGTCTCTATAAAATTTCTGTGTAAACAAACCTAGAAATTTTGTTGTTGTTAATAATTGAGATTTCGTTTAGTACACTCTGAATTTCTGTGAATTATTACTAGTTAATATAGATTTAGCGCCGTAGAAACAATTTGTTTTCATTGTTTTTGCTACGGGTCCGATTCGTGAAAATCTTTAGATTTCAATCATAATAACTTAGTTAAATTTTATTATGAGTAACCTAACGCATTGCGTCGTGTTTCGTTATTTCGTTTTAATTTGCAATTTACAATATTGAGTTTTGTCTTGCCTGTAATTAATTTATTATAAGTTTTTAGTAGCAGCCCTTGACAGCGGTTTACGTTTCTACGTTGTGTGAGTACCTACCATTTTATATTTCTAATTTATTTACATTATTGCCGTGTTGTCTGTCTTCCATTGACTTAGAATTCTGTTTGTGAATAAATATAATCATAATCTATAGGTATGTGTTTGTTTATTACTTATTATTTACTCGGAGTTCGGTGAATGACACAGGATCAACGCCACTTTAAATTAATCTATTCGGCAAAATGGTCTATTGTCTAGATTTAATCTTTATCGTCTTAGCTTCTTACCTACAAATCGTACTAGTAGTTTTGTGTCATTTGAAACATTGAAAATGTATTGGTTATGCCGACGTCTTTCTACAAACGCATTCCAAATATTTTTCCAGCGTATTCAGCTGATAGCAAAGCTAGTTGGAATATTTGGAACCTACTAGAAAATATCTTATCGTCTGTTTGGCCAATACAACGACGCATCGATAACATGATGGCATCAACGTTATGTAACTTAAACATTTTTCATAATAATCCTGGTTTTTTTTTTAATTTGTAATATTATTTGTTGTTAAGATAGCTATCGTTTGTTAAATTATGCTGTCGGATTATTAAGATTACTACAAAATAGAAAAATTAAAGGCGTAAGTGGTTGCACAATTATTATAGTTTGTAAATATGAACAATATTCATAAATTTACAAATGTTTTGCTTTAAACAAACGATACAAATAAGAAATATACTATAGACTCGTTTATTTAAATGTCATATTAATAGCAAGTTAGATTATGTATTTACGGGATTTTCAATGACAAATTGTATTTCATTCAACTTTTGCATCCAGGATATTCTTTTTCTTTTCACTGTTCAATTAAAACCATTTCTACTGTTCCGTTATACCTAATTTGTTATTTTTGAAAATGTAAAATTATTTTTTTAATTCCGAGTATTTTACTGAATGATTGAGTAACAATAACAAAATAAAACAATGTCAAAATATTAGTTACATGTGTTGGGTTCTTTTTTTTTAATTTTTCTTAATGGATGATTGTTAATATATAAGCCCAATGGCTTATAAGAGCTGCTAGGGTCAGATAGTAGTAATTAAATAAAATCCACTGGTTCTTAAAGCATTTTGACTGTCATACTAATCTTTTAAGCTCTAATACTTACCTTAAGACACATTAAAATAACTAGTTGGTAAATAAGGAAAAACTTTGTAATATTTTAAATAATTTAAAATTGTATATACCTAAACTATTTGATATCAGGTGATGAGAAAGGGCGTTGTGATTAATTAGTTGTAGATTATTAGATTTGAACCATAATTAATAATAGGCTTAGAATTTGTTTGGATTAGTATTCTTAGACCCAGGTAATGTTTCTGAAAACTTAAAACTTCATTTACGTATTAACAATTTCACACCTGAAGACAAATAACTATATACAAGCAGGGTACTTAGAACTAAAACTGAAACCTCAACTCATCGGGTGTTAATATTTAAATCATGTTTTTTACGACCTTTGAATTTCTAAAAATTTGTTTCAGGCTTACTATATTAACCGTTGTGACGATTAAACGACCATGTCAAACAATTTCATAATTTTTAATTTCATACATGATTTTTTTTCTCGTTAACCATTTGAGATACAGTTTTATTTGAAATCGGGCAATTCGTTTTGTTTGATTGTAAACTTTTTATTTTACCTTGTCTTTTTAATAGAAAATTAATTGTATTTTGTATCTTATATATGTTTTAGGTAAGCTAATTTTACAATTAGTTAACAACCAGACACAGAAAAAGTATATCTATAATCTATATACAAGCAAAACAATTATGGAAGTTAATACGCAAGAACACTTTGAAAGAATGTATCAATTCTATAAGTAAGTCATTAACTGATTAGTTTTGTACAAGTATTATTTATTACCGTTTAACGTTTGTATTTTAATTGTGGCCTTTTATATAATATAGCAAAGTCCTGGGGTATAATTATGCACTTTTTACTTAATTATTTACAGGGTGATAATTTTTCTCGTGAACCACTCAATATCAGAATCAGTATTAAAACAAAACCAATATCACAAACTTATACCTGATAAAACCATTATTACATATTACGTACTATTGATTATTTTTTTGGTATCGGTCCAAATATCAGATTTTCCAAAAAAAAAAAAAAATGATACCAATAAAACGAGTACCACTAATATCGTCCGATATCTAGTATCAGTTCTAGCAGCAGCACACCCCTAGACATTTTATACAATGTGATCTTAATTTTTCATAATTTTTAAACTTTGTATTTTTGATACTAAAATAGTAACGCATTAAATTCATTAACTTTTTAAACTAAGAATAACGTAATTAAGTTTTTGACTGGTCGTTAACCTGTTTTAAATTTATAAGAGTTTAAAAGTTAGGACAGGAAGGGAAGTGCGCGCAGATTAAAATAATACTACACTCCACCTTTCCTCCTGCCTTAAACTTTTAAACTCTGATAACTTCAACAGTAATTAATCCAAAACTGGTTAACGACCAGTCAAAAATGTAAGTACGTTATTCTTAATTTAAAACGTTAATGAAATGTATGCGTTACCCTTTAAGCCTTTGAAAAGCTGTTATCAAAAAAAGTAAGTTTGGAGGGGGGTAAAATTAAAAAAAAAATATTAAATTTCTTATACCCTATGCGATATTGAGTGGTTCACGATTAAATGATCACCTTTATACATAAATATATAAAACTTTTTGGGGTAAATACTTTTGCTATTATTACATTAGATGAAACAATAATATTAAAAATGTACTTTATTTGTAAAAAAAAAAAAAACAAATAATGTTACTAAATTTTAAAATCTTAAAAATTCACATCCCTCATTTAAAAATGATGGATCATTTTTTTTTACATATTCAAAATATTTAAACGTATACTTTGGCTATTTCAAGAGCTTTGTCTAATTAAATTTTGTTTTTTTGGTTTACACTACGAAAAAACGAGAAAAAAATAGTTTTTTAAACACTATTATCGATATTTATTTAATTCTCATAATTATCAATAAAATATTTTTTTTGAGAAACAGTATTTTAAGATAATTTTTTTATTCCACATTTATGTATACTTATTGCATATTTGAATATTGCTTTTCAGAAAACGTTTTATTAAAATATGAATCTTGTAGTAATTTATAATTACTAATGCAAATAAATAAATTAATACTGATTTATTTTTATAGGCACAAAGAATTTTGTGATGTAACTTTGGTTACTGATGAAGGCTTAAAAATTGAAGCACACAGAAATATATTGGCTTCTGCGAGTCATGTGTTTTATAAGATGTTCAGCGGGCATTTTAAAGAGAAAAACGAAAATGAGATTCTTATAAAAGAAATAGATTCTACAATTTTAGAATTGGTGGTCGAATTTGCATATACTTATAAACTGGATGTTAAAGAAAACAATTGCGAGGTAGAAAACACGCAATAGGATGTACAGTTTATAAAATATATTGTTATAATTCTATTGTTATTTACCTAATAATATTATTTTTTTTTAGAAACTATTGATGGCTGCCGAAATGTATGATGTAAGTGGTATAAGAAAATTGTGTGGCGAATATATTAAAGAAAACATAAATCCTACAAATTGTGTGCGTTTTATGAAAAAGTCCAAATTAATATCAGACAAAAAGATTTACAATTTTTGTTGGTCATATTTTTTAAAATATTTCTAGTGAGTAATCTGGTGCGACATATGATCGCAACATTATTTAAATTATCAAATAATAAAAAAATATTTTTTTTAGTATAATTGTGACATTGGATCAAGCGTTAGAAACACTTTATGACTTTGAGTTTGATGATGTTGTCGAGTTTATTGCACGCGATGATTTAGTAATTGATTCTGAGGAAAAGGTATAATTATTGTAACTGAAGAAGGAATAAAAAAATTACTTATTTGAATGTTGGTCCAATTACAATTATTCAATATTAAGTTAAGATTTTTTTTTTTTATAGATATTTGATTTTATCGTTGATTGGATACGATATAACACAGATGAACGTAATGGCTTTTTACCGAATTTTATGAAATATTTACGTTTACCTTCAATTTCAAAAAAAGGACTACAAAGGATTTATAATCATCCATTAGTGGGAAATAATACTAATGGTACGTATATACTGTTGATATTTCAATCGAGGGTGCATTCAATCTAAATTGTTGCCCTTTACTTGTACATACAATAGCGCCTATAGGTGAAATATATTGATGATGTGTCTTTTAAATAAATATTATTATTGTTATGCTTTATTAGTTATGAGAGCCATATTAGACAATATCACCAAAACTTACATCAAATCAAAACCGCCAGTTACTCTTGGAAGATGTACTCAAATTGAATTTGTTTAAACTTTTTTAATACTGGCACACAAAATGTATCTACTTGGTATTGAGTGGAATCGATTTGAAAATTAAAGTTTCAACATTTGGTTACATAGAGATGCGAAAAAGTATAATATCACATGTGTTTTGCGTATATTTGATTAAGCCAAGGTTAGACGACAAAAAGTGTTAACACCAACGGTAAAAAATTATATGATAAAGGTAATGTTTTTTTTTGTGCTTATTGTCTTTTTGGAGAATATAAAATAAAGTCAAGTAATAGTTTAAAATATTCAAATCAATGTAAATCTGTGATAAAGGTAGATTTCCAGATGATTTTTGGGACTAGGGTAAAATGAGAAACAAGCGGTTTTGGCTGATTAGACTAAAGTTGCTCTAGAGAGAAATATAAAAAAATATCTTATACAAAAATAAGCACCTAACTGGTTGAGGATTTATGTTATATTTTGCAATAGCTATAAAGAAGTTTTTTAGGAAAATTAGGTACCAAAAACACATGATTACATATATATGTTGATTAAAATATTTTTATTGTGTTATTAATTATTATGACATTATATTGTTATTAAAAATAAAACTATTATAATTTTATGTTTATTTAAAATTCAAAAATATGTATTATATTATTCGACAATTGTAATTATAATATTTTATTCATGATTTGTAGAATAATAAGTTTTATTTTCTTTTTTTCCCAAAATGTATCATCCTCTATTAGCTTTTATAGTTCCAAATTTCATTTTAGATATTTCGAAAAAAATTCGTCTTCCGTATCTATTATTACTGCTTATATCCTTATCTAGTAGCTTATTGATAATATCAACATAGGCCCAATCATCGTAACTAATAGGCAAGTAAAATAAATAGTTATACATTTTTTTTTAAATATCAGTGCAGAACAAAAAATATATATATATATTTCCCTATAGGAGATACCTATTTGGTTTAGCACAGCCAATCTTTCACTTGAGGTAATGTCAACAATTAAAAAATGTCCCCCTTTTCCATAAATAAAAAAAAATATCCTAATTATCAGCGATGGAAAACGTTAACCAGCTAAACACTATTGTATTTGTTATATATAACCCCCACAAAAGTTTATTACAATTATTTGTAGTATGATAGTCTGGTAGCCTAACTGATTTTGACCTTGTAAAAATTCAAGTCGAAAGTGTTTTTTTCAAGTAAAGCGTTGATAATATGAATACTCACCTTTCATTTATAATAAACAACGGAGCTGTAAAGCATAAACGTTTTTAATGAAATACAATATATATATATTATATAAAATATTTTACATAATTTTAAAATATCTGTGTTTAAATATTCTGCCATAGGAGTAGCAAATCGTGGGCACCCCATTCCCCTCTCTCTGCGCTAATTAAATTTAGGTTAAAATTACAGCTTTAACTAAAAGTTTAATTTAAAAAAAAAAAACCTAGCACAGCTAAGAAGTATTTATTTGAAATAACCGATTTGTTCATTTAGCAAGTCTATGAATATTATTATCATAGATTTTGTTGGGAATGTTTATTTAAAAGGTAAATAATATACTTTCAGTAATAATAATTTCTAAAAAAAACTATGACCTCCCTGATCCTAGTATAAGCCATCACCCCTATGTCCCAACTCATGTATATATAAATATACACCCTTGATTTGGATGTTTACCTGCGATGAAAATACTTAATAATACAATTTTACCAGAAACTAAATTAAAAAAGTTCATATTTACTTTTATCACTTTGTGGATTTACGCCATCTGCAAGAAAAGTAATATATAATAACATTTTATCCGAGAACCCGTATTATTATATTATTACCTGTTTCTACAAACATTATAAAACCCTTCTCTGGAATGAAAAAAAAAAATGAACAAACTAATTAATTATGTGATTACCGACCGACTACAATACTAGTTAGTATTAAAAAATTGGGTAAGATTCTTGTTTGATTTCGATTAAAAAAAAAACAATAGACTCTAATTTTAACCATTAAATAACTGTTTTAAAACAAATTAAATGAATGTCTCAGTCAAATTTGAAAAAAATGTTTTATGCCCCATAAATTATAGGGAATAATGAGGTGGATTTGAATATTTTTCATAATTTTATTTTATGGAAAATTTAAAGTTTGAGCATTCCGCCCAGTAGTTAATTGGTCTATACACTTTATAACACTATTCCTAACCTAGCCAATTAAGTAATATATAATGTATACATTTTTAAACAAATCTTTGTTTTTATTCAAATCTACTTCATCTCTATATAGTACATTTAAATCTAATAAGGGTAGATTGTGCAATACAGTTCATTTATTTTATATAAAACTATTTTCATTTATTTAATGCAAATATAAAACTTAAAAATTATAATATACAATATTTATAAGGCGTATTTGGGTTTTAAGCAAATTGTCTTGAAATTTAAGCAATTTTTAACACTTAAATTAGTGAGGACCATTTCATTAATTTGGTTTTTTGGTTCTTAACTCTTTACTACACTATTATATAATCTTAATTTTAAATAAGACTTAGAAAATAAGTAATTTAAGAATAAAATAAAAAAAATATACGCCATGGTCTCAAATTCAAATTTATCCCACTTCAACATTTTTATTATTTTGTATTATATCAGGTAAAATAATCATAATAAACCAACGTTAGGGAGATCATTAATATAATGCAATAATTATATATTCTATTAATTATTTATTCATTATATTTTATTTATTTTGTGAAATACGTTGATTGAAAACACCATTTTGGATATGTATAATTATTTTCTACTTGTGATCAAAAAGGTTGCAAGTAAAACAATTCTTATGAAATAAAAAATAAATAAATAAAACACTCGATTCTTCCACTATTGTTTATTCTAGTATAATATAGGTACACTATATATCGTATGATCATTTATTACTATTTTATTCTAACGATAGTGTGGTAACTTTATTAATTTATATTCAGTCTTTAAATTCTGATCTAGTATCACTTTGGTGTTAAGAACATAACACTTATTCTGCCTAAAAATCTGTTTGCATTAGTTAAGGCATTTTTTAAATTTGAAAAAAAATAACATGAGGTTATTAAACTATTAAAATGACATTAAAAAATAACCACACACACCCGTTTTTTTAGTATGACGACTTTTAAATGGATTTTTAGTTTATATTAATCCCAACAAAAACGCTTCGTTAACTCAATGTAAATGGTCGCTAAGTAAAAAAAAAAGTGTTTCAACATAAGCTATAAAATACAGGAACTAATTAAATACTACAATAAAACGTGTCTCCATACTAAACCAGTCATGAAAAAATCGTAATTAGTTTACTTGGCCGCAAGTCTAAGTATGGTTTCCTACTACTTGTTATAATAGGAATATAGTAAGAAAACTATAGCAGAAAAGCAAACTTCTACTTCTGGCCCGAGTAAACTAATATTCGATTTTTTCATGTCTGGTTTAATTTGTAGACAGATTTTATTTGTTGACAACGTGGGATTTTTAAAAATATTTTTTAGAAAATGTGGTTTTAAAAAAAATTGTAGTAATTATTTTTTACTCGATAAATTACATGTACGATATTATATAGACCCAACCAAAAAATAAGTCCTAATTTCGGCTGTTATTCTTGTTATAATAGTATAACATTTACATAATATTATGAATATAGTTAAAATAAATATGCTTTTCTAAAAAAATGGTAAAAAAATTTTGAATTAATAAAAAAATATTTATTTTTTTAAAAAAAAAAAACCGTACAAATGTCCCACGATTTTATTTTAAGACAAAGATTAAAGATGGTTAATATTATTTAAAATGGTAATTATTTTCGGGTGTTTTCAAAGTAATTGACGTTTTAATAAATGTGGTACAATTGATTGGCAAATTGTAAAAAAATTATTTTTTTTTAGTTGATATTTAGTTCAAATTTTTTTTAAAATTTTTTACCATGTTTTAGAACAGTATGTGTTTTTTCTAAAAAAAATTACATTTACTATATTATATAGACCCCACTATAAATCAAGTCTTAGGTTCGCCTATGATTATAATCATAATAGTATAACGTTTACATAATATTACGAGTATAGTTAAGATAAAAAAAATTATAATTACTGTCAGTGAATTTATAGACAGCCATGGCATCCACTTTGTATAAATCTGGCGAAAATGTGATAGCTGCTTAGATAAATCATAGATTGAGTTAGTACATATAAATACAATATGGATTATGGTATAAAAATAAATGATATATAAAATTATACGTAATAATATAATTTATAACAAACAAATAAACAAAGAAAGAAAAAACAAAGTTAAGAAAGAAAGAAACAAAGGAAAAAAACAAAAAAACAAAAAAAGAAAAGAAAGAAAGCAAGAAAAGAAAAAGAAGCTAGAAAGAAAGAAAAAAAGAAAGAATGAAAGAAAGAAAGAAAGAAAGAAAGACAGAAAAAAAGAAAGAGACAAAGAAGGAAAGAAAGAAAACAAACAAACAAACAAAGAAAAGAAACAAACAAAGAAACAATGAAAGAAAAGAAAGAAACAAACAAACAAACAAAGAAAGAAAGAAAGAAAGAAAAGAAAGAAAGAAAGAAAGAAAGAAAGAAAGAAAGAAAGAAAGAATGAAAGAATGAAAGATTGAAAGAAAGATAGAAAGATAGAAAGATAGAAAGAGAGAAAGAAAGAAAGAAAGAAAGAAAAGAAACAAACAAATAAACAAAGAAAGAAAAAACAAAGTTAAGAAAGAAACAAACAAACAAAGAAACAAAGGAAAAAAAACAAAAAAAAAGAAAAGAAAGAAAAGAAAGAATGAAAGAAAGAAAGAAAGAAATAAAGAAAAAACAAAGAAAGACAAGAAACAAAGAAAAAAAAAAGAAAGAAATTAAAAAAAGAAAGTTAGAAAAGAAACAAACAAACCAACAAACAAACAAAAAAACAAAGTAAAGAAAGAAACAAACAAAGAAAGAAAAGAAACAAACAAAAAAAGAAAAGAAAGAAAAGAAAGAATGAAAAAAAGAAAGAAAGAAATAAAAAAAAAAAGAAACTAAGGAAGAAAAGAAACAAAGAAAGAAATGAAACAAACAAAAAAAGAAAAGATAGAAAGAAAGAATCAAAGAAAGAAAAGAAAAAAGAAAGAATGAAAGAAAGAAAGAATGAAATAAAGAAAGAAAGAAAGAGTAAAAAGAAAGAATGAAAGAAAGAAAGAAAGAAAGAAAAGTATGAAAGATACAAAAAAACAATGAAAGACAAGAAACAAAGAAAGTAAATAAAGAAAGAAAGAAAAGAAACAAACAAAGAAACAAACAAATAAACAAAGAAAGAAACAAAAAAACAAAGAAAGACAAGAAACAAAGAAAGAAAAAAAAGAAAATATAGAAAGAAAGAAAGAAACAAACAAAGAAACAAAGAAAGAAACAAAAAAACAAAGAAAGACAAGAAACAAAGAAAGAAAAAAATGAAAATATAGAAAGAAAGACAGCATAGAAAGAAACAAAGTAAGAAACAAACAAAGTTAAGAAAGAAACAAACAAACAAAGAAACAA